ACATAGTGACTGTTATCCAAGAGCAGAACCTTTCAAAATACTTGATTAACAGAAATCTAATTACCTCTGTCGGTACACATTTCACCGCTGTGTCTAAGTTCTGACAACAACTTATAATCACGCAGTGAAAGAAAACTTTGCGCATCAAAACCAGCTTACCTAATAGGTTGCCTTTTTATATATAGCAATATGCAATTAAACCCAATTATCATTACTTTACATGCATTTGCTGATATAAAAAAGTGGGCTTAAATGGTTTTCTTGTAGACATGAAACCCTGCTAGTGCTACAGGTCCCATAAATAGCAGCCAACTCATATTGCTTTGACTTATTGACAGAGAGAGCTTAATTCTTATGGATTTGACACTCCTTTATATGAGATTTTTACACTAAGGTTTCCAAGTGACGCTTTAAAATGTATATTTTTCTTTGTAGGACTTCTTGTCTGACTTGAGCTTTAGTGATACGCCAATAATTAAATGTATAAGGAAAGAAACGTCTTGGCAAAATGCAGTGCCCATTCTTTTTTTATTTAGGATAGCAACATGTCATAGTGCACTGAACCACACAAAGAAGGTTAGTGTGTATAACACAGGGTGCTATATGTGTGAGGACGAGAAAGAAAGAGAGAGGTGGTATTGGCCATGTTGCCTTCGTTTCTTATCACATCAATGTCTCGGTATTGCCCTTTTCCTCTTCGTCCTTTGCTATTGTCTTTAGTTGTAACATTTTTTTCTTCCTTACTGGTCTACCCACTACACACCCATTCTCTTTAATTTGCTGCATCAGGATTGTTTTATGGTAAAACACTCTATATCTCCTTTCGCCTGTCTCTCATCAATTCTCCTTATTCAACTCCTCCCTCCTACCCACTACTCTTCCCTGTCTGTTTCTCACTCATCCTTTCCCCCACACACTTCCCATCTCTCCTTCCCTTTTCTCCCTCTCTTTCGAGGCCTGGGGGGTGCTTTGATCGCTGGTTCTTTGGCCACTTATCCTACCTCTCACATTCCCGTCCGTTCATCCCTTCTTCTACGCTACGCTGTCATCGATATCGCAGTCATTTGAGGATTCCTCCTTTATCCCTTCTCGGTCTCATGGTGGCTTTCTTTAAGATCTCACTTTCTCTGCATTTCGCTCTACGTCTCCTGCTCCCTCCGTCTCCTCCTTGCTGATTGATTTTATGTTTAATGGCTTTTCTGGCCTCATCTCTTTCTCCTCTCTCCTTCCCCACTCCCTGTTTCTCTCCCCTCTTTCCCTTTTTTTAATGTCCCATAACTCCAGTCCCCCTTCCTGCATCCTTTTGATAGGCAGATCACTATCACCATCTGATTCTTCTTCACTCTCTCTCTTTCTCTCTCTCTCTCTCTCTCCCTCTCTCTCACACACACACAAACACACACAAAGACTTCAATCACAGAAAGCCCTGTGTGCTGTCAGCCTGTGAGGATTATAGGCCATCTACATCATCCTTTCCCTCTCCTCCATCTTCAGCCTGCATCCATCCTTCCATCCCTTCTGCTTTCTTATTTACATCGACCCCCAATCCATCAACTTCCTGCAACTATATTCCACAAAACTACTGTATATATATATATATAATGTATTCATTTCTATGTATCTATTGGCGTTCCTCTTCTTTCTTCATTATTCCATCCATACCTCCATAGTTTAGTTTACTTCGTATTATGATGGACAATGAGAAAGAGTGTGGACCACCTGTTATTTGTGGGAAATGACCCTCTGAACTAAGGGGGTTGGGAGACTTTCGTCGGATTTAATCTGCAGTTGCATTGTGTGTTTCCTGCTGCCTGATTGTGCGGCGGATGGGATTCCGCTGGCGGTTTCAATGTCACTTTCAGCGTCCAGTCATGCCAGGATGCATTACGTGCCTCTCGATGCACGAGAGTCCGACTTTACAGGCGGTGCCATCAAATCTGCAGAGCTAATGGAATCTGTGGCATTGTAAAGAGAATTCCGCTCGGCTTTTTTGGACGCAGTCCGACAGTGATGTGATTTTAAAATATGCAAAGTAAGACAGAGAGTAAAAGTACACAAATGGATCTAACAGATCACCAGTCTTTGTAAAGAACCTATACAGTAGAGAAATTACATTTAAATATTACTACTACCTTTAACTATATGTACAGATAATCACGTGATCTATGGTCATGGACAGGTGTCCTCTCTCTGACAAAAAAAAAAAGCACAATTAATTTTAAAAATACTTCAAAAATAGCTAGACAGGTTGTCACCATGCTTAAAGAAAATCAACATAATTTTAGAAAAAAAAAATTAGAAGTGGACATTAAAAAATCAAGCATAAATGTAACAAAGTTTGTACCATCTGGCCTTGTGTTTCTTGGCTGCTATTTGGACATACGGGCTCAAGGCATTCTTGTTTTTGCCAAATGTAAAACCATCTGGATGCAGAATAAATTTTGATATATGACACGACTTTTCACATGTACAGGTTTTAGATGTCATCGTGCGGTCTTTTCATAAAAACAGTTTGTGAACACCGTGAAGTTTTTTCTTTCAAGATGGCCACTAAGATACAGATTAATCATGGTTGTTACCTTTGAAATTGTTCTTTGAAGTAAGCATATCTTTTTAATAAACTGTGAATGCCTTAACAATTTTATACAGGTTGTAGTAGGCTTGTTTAACTATTTAGACATAAACCATTTCAACCTTGGAGCTGAACTAGAGAATTTTCTTTCATCAAATAAGAATAGCGTCTTCTTTAACACTTAATACAAAGAGAAGAAATAAATGCATTTTTTTTTATCATGACTCATCCTTAAAGTTGCATTGGAAACATTATTTAGTTACCTTAGAATCAGTTGGATTTTTATCAGTCGTTAAACTTCCGCATATAAAAAATATTCATCCTGTCAGTGTTACATATTAGAGGAACAGAAACACCCCCCCCTACACCCAAATAACTACCAACCATTCTGACCTTCCGGTCATCCCGCCATCTGTCCACAAATCAGAGAGCAGATGCTGTCTGTCACTCAGCTAACAGCCTGACATTTAGGCCAATTAGGGCATTAGGGTGATTTAATAGTAGATCAACAGACTGAGGCGTTAAATAGCAGAAATGACTGATAGAATTCTATCGCACTTATTTTTTATGACCGTGAATTACCGTGGATGTAAATTCCTGGCAAAAGATTTACTGAGTTAAAAGTTATTATTTCGTAATTAATCTCTTGCCGTTTTGTAAAAATTTTGACCCCAGCTGCTACGCTTAATAGCTCTCACTCAATATGCTTCAATAAATGCTTAATAAACCCAGAAGACTCAATGAATTTGGGGGGGGACTAATTCCATTAACTGGTGGTCAAGTAATGTGTGACAATGTTGCCATCTTGGACAAGCAAAAAAAACGTCTTTTCAGCATTCTGGTTAGTCATTAATGAACTTTGGTGTTCATCAACTATGTGGGACATTTAGATAAATCAAAATCAGGTATGTAAAAGCTGAAAAAGGCTGACATTAAAACACTACAAACTATCCCTGGATGATCTACTAGTAAGTTTTGATCTGGTTGTCCTGTGAAGAGAAAAGTACGATATAAGTACGAATAATGACTTTAAGGAGATGGTAAGGTTTCAGCTTTTTTGCGATGTAATAATGAATTTTAATACAAAACCTCCAGCTTTAGAATCATATCTCCATAGACTTGCCCCAAAAGAGAGAAAATAGATTACTTCAAAAAAGACAAAAGTAATGTTAAAGTTAAAGTAAAAGTAAAAGGATCAAAGATGATGAGGCTTGAACAGGACATATGAGAGGAGAATAAAAAGAAGAAAAAAAGAAAACCAACCCTCTGTGATCCTCACTCATGCTCAATATTGTGATGGATGAGAATGAAGTCCTTGTTTACTAAACAGGTCATTTAACAGGGTTCACCTCCTAAAATATTGTCACCTCTCGTTGGTTTATCCTTCCTTCACTCCTTCCATCTGAGCGGTGTGTGTGTGTGTGTCTGATTTTGCGTCTGATTGCGCACCACGTGTGTGACAGTCGGCTTTTGTGAGTCGGTCCTGGGGTTTATATACATGTCTGCCTACCAGAAGTCGCTTTCATGTGTGTGCACGGCGACAGAATGAAGAGAGATAGCTGTGCTTTTGTCGGTGAGCGTTCAATGTCATCCCTGACTCCTTAAAGAAGTAGCCGCACACTGAGAGCTTAACACTCTCCTTTCCACACTTGTCTCTCGTCTTTTTTACACCATTCTCCATTTGTCCCCTCGACTCTTCGCTGCCTATATCCGCGGCTTCTCCCGAGCAAACCCCCGACGAGCCGCGTTTTCGAGAAATTGAAACGCACGCGCGGCCGAATTAAAGCTAAATGATTTACACAAACATCTGGCGAACGCCTGATGAGCCGAACTCGACTAAAACAGATTGCTAAATCAAACCGGTTATTCGTTATGTGGAAAAGTCATGGAAAATGAAAACTCTCTCAAGATCTGCTCCTCCGTGTCATCGAGGCTCATCTGTGTCACGAAAGTGTGCGTTCTGGATGATAAATGGAAGTGCTCAGTAGACAGATAGTTGAATCCTTTACCATGTTAAGTCAACTAACATTCTGACCCTCTGCAGAAACCTTTGTGCTTGCATGGAGGATTTGAAATGCACAATCATTACGGTTTGACAGAGTAAGATTACAATGATTTAAATTAGGAAAAGAGCAGGTGGAAGAGGGACTTTTTCACTGAAAGAAGCACCAGCTACTGAGTGAAAGGGACATTTTCTATGTGACATTACAAAGGCAACTCTGTATATTTGTATGAATGGATGTCGATACTTGAAAAAAAAACTCCTAAGTACTTTAGACATTCACAGAGAATGATAACTTTGCCTCAGATAATTGTTGTCAGAGCACACGAATAAGGAAAGAGATTTAGAATTACCCCAAAAAATTAAATAAATCTGACAAAGTATAAAGTTATGTCTCTCTCTAAAAAAGGGATTATTACATTACTGTCACCAAGGATAGTCGCAGTAATAAGATCCTGTCAAAAAGAATGAGACAGCAAAATGCCGCGTCTCAAATGGGAGACGGCTTATCAAAAATGCTTATGAGTCAAAACCGAAAGTGTTCCTAAATAGTTTCTGACAGGCCATCTATAGCTTAAAAGACTTGAAAAGGCAATCATCCCAACTGGGATCACCCAAATCCACAGAGTCCGATCAGTATGCTCGTCTAATATCTAGTAGAAATTCAACCCTTCAGGATCAATACATGCCTGTAAACAGGTTGATCAATAGAGAAAAGAAAAATCACACTGCTGATCATATTTAGAAATTACTGCCCATTTGCATCATGCATTCTGAACGTATATAACCTTTTCTGATTTCCACAGTCAATACTTAGCAGACTGGGTAAGATTGTAGCATTTTGCACTTAGAACGACTCTCAAATTAAAAAGGCGGATTTGCAGACTGATTTCCCTGGCACGAGAAAGGGTTCTTTATTAATTTAGTCTGTATGCAGAAATCAAGAAGAGCTCAAGAGTTATTATCTTTCTCAAAAACATCCAGTCTTCATATTAACTTGATTAGTTTGTGAACCTGTGAGTCACGTATCATAACACGGAAAAGAGCACCGCCAAGAAAACATAGAAAAAAAAGAAAACGTAGAAAAATCATTATTTATATCAGAGAATGTATGAGAAAAAAATCAGTTTTTTCCACAATATTTTTCATTATTGTTGTGTTATTGTTGTTTATCACTGTTTATCACATACATCAAATAATCAGAATCAACTCAGTGGATATTTAACCTTTCAATAAGAGTGTATTGTGTGTGTTTCTCTGTGAATGAGAGAGATCAGTTACTGCATAATACAACAAAGCCGAGTGGTAAAAGGAGAGGAAAGGGGAAACAATGTGATTGGATCAGATTAGATCTGATCTTGGATAGAGATAGACACACACAGGGAAGGACAAGGAGAAGACAAAGGAGGGAGAAAAGTGCATCTGTGATGACTTTGATATTCTTGTTCAGTTATGGCAAAAAACATTGATTTGCCTGTGAATTAAGTGGGATCAAAACTCAGAATTTAAAGTTTTTAATCCAAGGTTTTATTTCACCTACCATACTCAAAAGAAAATTAAATAAAAAGACAAATTACCCATGTGTGTGCTGAATAAATAAGTTCCGTCTTGCCATGAAATAACAAAACTGTGTGCTTATTTTTTACTTTAAAAATACAAATTAGTGAGGTCAGCAGTTTTTTCAGAAAAGTATAGATACAAACAAACTGGTTAACTGTCCGATGAGTTTTAACATCGATAAAGTTAAACAGTTACAGTCTATCATCATCACTCAACAGCAACTTTGGAGTTTTCAGGTCAAATCCATCTATTTAAATGCATTAAATTCAAATCTGAGACGTGGCATCTATCATAGCACTGTCATAAAATTCTGATGACTGCTGATAAAGGTGTGAGAGAATGAAGGAAGGGAAAGACACATCACAAACCACACCAAAATGATGACAGATTATTTAATGAAAAACTAACTGGCCAGAAGCAAAGAAAACTAATTAGTTGTCACAATGGAAGCGTATGGGAAGGTTGTAATAGATGGAAGAAAGGAATGAGAAGAAAGATGGATGAATATTAAACAGAGATTTATCAAAACGATTGGACGGATTACAGATAGAAATGTTGAAATAAGCAGAAAGAACTAAATATGAATGAAGATAAAAAGAAAAAGCAAAGACAGAGGTAGGTATGTGGAGATATACAAATGTGATGGGGACATATAGAGGAAAGAACAAAGCAGACAGTGGAAAATTCAAGAAAAGATAATGTGAAATTGTTTCCACCTGTGTAACACCCAAACAGGAAGCCATATTTTAGAATATTATTCCATTGTGGTTTGTCTTGAATATTTGAAAAATTAAACAAGTGTTTCTTCTTGCTCGATCACAAGTTATCAATTTTTAGATTTTCAATCAATTTTCCAGATTTAATTTTTCTTCCACTCCTTAACTTCTCAGCTTCTTGCCAAATATTTGATCAGAATTCAATATGTTTTCAGTTGAACATTTTTCCTTCCCTTTTTCATGAACAAAAGTAATTTCCACTAACGTCTTTCCCTCTTCTGGTCCTGAAAGGTTCATTTCAAGGAGTTTTACATACTCAGAAATCAATGGAGGCAGTGCTTCCCGTTAATGTGTACGGGTGTGTGTCTGTGTGTGTGTTTGTGTGCGGATGAACATGTCTGTTAGTGTGCATCTGTGAGAGCCTATGAGTTTGTGTGTGTTTGAATTATTTATGAGGCTAAAGTGCTCCACTGGGAGAAATGCAATGCATCTTATTCACAACATGTCTATCTACATTTAAAACATGCATCGCTTCGAGAAGTTGATGTTCTTATTTCTAAAACTGGACACTGTAGGCTTTGTCTTCATAGTCGATTTTCACTGTTCTCATTGGGCACTATCTAGAATTACAGTATAAATATATATATGTACGTACATATGCAACATAGGAAACCAATAAAGCTGTTTCTGTTTCTCTTTTTCACTATTTTCCTGTGAGCAAACAGAATCTCTTTATGCTAAAAAAACCTTTATTATGCATTCAGATAGAATGCCTAACCGGCAGTCACTGTAGCAACCCAAAAAAAACGCATCCATCATAATCACCATGACAACCGGGGATGGAACTGTCAGTCAGCCCTGTCCCAAAGGAACGAGGGATAAAACTGCAGCAACATCTGCAAAGACAAAAACGGCTGAAAAGACACACCTGCACACACACACACACACACACACACACAGACACACACACACAACTGCTCACCCACGTATGCAGTGCAGTCGGATAGAGATACAGAAATCATGTTGTCCAGGGTTTTCACCTGAGTGCTTTATCAGCCGTGAGATTCAACACAACTTTGAACACACAAGGACACATTAAAGCTGTACAATTGTAGAGTAATCAACAAGTCTAATTTCAAATGCGTTATACCACAAGAAGGCCACTTTATAAGTTGTTGGCTTATAAATTCATTACAGCAACTTCGTCACTTTCAAAACAATGGTTTCACTGCTTTTAAAATGATTCCAAACTTATTTCTGGCTGAAATAAGCCAGAAAAATCTTTTAAAATCACACAGCAATACAAAACTCCAAAAGGTTTTTTTTTCTGTTCAAATCTCTTTAAAAGTACGCAATGAACCATTATATCAAATTAAACCAGCGGCTTAACATAGGTTGGAATTCAAACAAAGAAACATTTTAAGATGGGTTAAAGTCACTGATCACAAGTTACCAATTTTTAGATTTTCAATCAATTTACAAGATTTAGTTTTTCTCCCACTTCTTAACTTCTCAGCTTCTTGCCAAATATTTGATCAGAATTCCATATGTTTTCAGTTTAACATTTTTTCTTCCCTTTTTCATGAACAAAAGTAATTTCCACTAACGCTTTGGATATCTTTGCGTCATCAAACAGACGTAGTTCTGTCATGATTTTGGTGCAAATCATGACGGCAAAATAACTGGTAGTCTTCCTCCACCCTGCCACACGGCTGATTTGTAACACTGTTCTAAGAAATTGTGACACTGTTCTAAGAAAACGTCAACACCGGCAAAAGTTGCGCGCTGAAAAACCACGAAACAATCTCACTCACTCTTTCTCTCCTGAGTAAAAGAGTAATAAAGCCTTCCCCTTTCTCCACATCCACTCTGCTTTTAACAGACATGTCCCGGCCATAACCTTTCCCCTCTCGTCCCTCTTCTGCTTCTTCTATGTATCTTGTATTTCCCTCTCACTCGTTCTTTCTCGCCGTGCTTTTTTTCTCTCTCCGATTAAACTGTCTACCCTGCTGTCCCTGCTGAGATCCCTTTCTTACGCACCACCTCGGGCTGTGTGTTCGTGCATATGTGTGCGTGCGTGAGCCACACATGCTAGCCGAGCCTTAACCTGTCAAAGTATCAGGAGCCTACCGAAGAAAGGAGAGGCGACAAAGAAAAGGGAGGATTGAGGTTCCCGTGAATTATAGAGAAGGAGTTGGGTCAGTATATCCAGAACTACAAGTTGGGCAGCTTAGGCTTTTCTGTTCCCTTGATAACACTTTCTGTAATCTATCTATCTATCTATCTATCTATCTATCTATCTATCTATCTATCTATCTATCTATCTATCTATCTATCTATCTATCTATCTATCTATCTATCTATCTATCTATCTATTTCAGTAACTCAGGAAGGCACTGACCAAACTTGTAACATAAAGGTGTAATGTCCATTTTCTGATCATCAACACATTAAGTTTAATCCTTTACAAAAAAACAGTATGAAGAATTAAAATCTCTTGATTGCTTCGATCAAAAAGTGCAATTTGTTCAAATCCCCGTGCAGTCTGGAAGTAGCATGTATGCATTAACTCTCACAGTGCTGAGAATAATAAAAAATTAAACTCCTGTCCATGGGGCTACGGGTCAAGAAGCTCATGTGCCAACACATGCCTCCCTCAAACTAAATGTGCGGAAAACATTCATTATTCATATGTGGACTGTTCACAAAAATAAAACATCATGAATAATAATCAGTTTTACGCTAAAAGTAAAGACAGAAATGAATTTTTCTGACAAATTGAGGTTTTAAAGAGTGGTAGCTATGTTATATATAAGAATAGGTTTGCCAACTCGGTCCCTACTGTAAATTTTCTATTTGAAAAAATCATTTATATGGCAGGTCTTTGTGATAGTATGTCAATTTTAGTCTTAAATATACCTTAAAGGATTTCACAAGCCCAGCCCAAAATCTTTCCTGCAACCAAAAACACTTTTTCCTGTCTTGGCAGAAGAAATGAATCAGGGAGAAAAACTGTCAAACAGACAAGAACTCAGCTTGTCATGGATAAGAAGATTAAAAGCAGTGTTGAAAAGTTCGGCATAACAGAGCCTGATTCTGACCACCTCCCAATCCTGACAAGAGAAAGAGTCACATGATATACCAATGGGTTGCATGTGTTACTTTTTCATGCATCCCTG